TCTTTCTCTATAAAGTCGGCCAGCTGCTGGCCCCTTCGGTTCCGTTGCCCTACTCCAAATTTCCCCACCTTCAGCTCACCGCTTTCTCTTGTGCCTAGTTTTGCGTTGAAGTCTCCTATCAACACCGTGTAGTGGGTTTTGGAGGAATGCATGGCTCTGGAAATATCCTCATACATTTCCTCCACCTCCTCATCGGGTTGTGCCGAGGTTGGTGCGTACCGGTATGACCTTCAGCGAATACCGTTTGGTGATTCTGAGTATCAGGTACGCGATCCTCGTCGACACACTCCCAATCTTTACAACGTTGTTGACGAGAGACTTGTGGACGATAAATCCGACACCTCCTTGGGACAGATGGTCGCCCTCCCGGTGGTAGAACAAGTTGCCGGACTCGAGGATTGCCGTATCCTCCCCCTCTCTTCGGACCTCGGATAATCCAATAATATGCCAGCGCAACTTGTCTACCTCTTCTTCTAGCTCCAGTATCTTCTCGTCAGTCCTCAGAGTGCGTGCGTTATATGTTGCCAGGTCGAGTCGTCGTAGGTGGCAACCGAACCTCCACCGGAGATTCTTAGCACCCCATGCCCCGCCGTTACCATGGTCGCCACCGTAGCCAGGAATAGCGGGGCCGCTGGGGACTGGGGGCCGTTTTTTGCGTCGTTATTCATATATGTGGGGATATTTGCCATAGTTGCCACGCTTGGCGAGCGGATTGGCAACCGCATTTTTTATTATAACACAGTTGTTATCATGAAGATGCTGCTGCCCATCTCCTGCCTGTCTCCCTCTGTCGCCTCTTACGACACCCACGGGAAGATATGGGGTAGTGGATATTCTCAACCGCCACTACACGGCGGAAGAGTACTTTGAAGAGTACAATCTGCCACTTTGCCTGGCGTATGTGGACTATGAGAAAGCCTTTGATTCCGTCGAAATTTGGGCGGTGCTACAGTCTCTTCAGCGGTGCCTAGTTGACCGTCGGTATATTGAAGTGCTGAAGTGTTTGTACAGTAGGGCTACGATGGCTATCCGAGTCCAGAACAAGAGTACGAAACCTATCCAACTGCAGAGAGGTGTAAGACAGGGTGATGTTATATCCCCGAAACTCTTCACCGCTGCGTTGGAAGACGATTTCAAATTAATGGACTGGAAAGGATACAGTATCAACATCAATGGAGAGCAAATCACTTACCTTGGTTTGCCGACGATATATGTAGTTACTATGGTAAAATCGCTGGAGGACCTTAGCACTATGCTCAATGACCTCAATGGTGTCTCCCAACGGATAGGTCTTAAGATGAACATGGACAAAACAAAGATCATGTTTAATGTCCATGTCACACCTATGCCGGTAGTTGTTGGGAGCACTATGCTCGAAGTTGTTGACGAGTACGTTTACCTGGGACAAATAGTCCGACTAGGTAAGTCCAACTTCGACCGAGAGGTCAATCGACGGATTCAACTCGGCTGGGCAGCGTTCGGGAAATTACGACACATCTTCTCGTCAGGTATACCTCAATCTCTGAAAACTAAAGTGTATAACCAGTGCGTGTTGCCATTGATGACTTACGGATCTGAGACATGGTCCTTCACCGCTGGCCGTATGAGGACGCTCAAGGTCGCTCAGCGAGCTATGGAGAGGGCTATGCTCGGAGTTTCACTGCGTGATAGATTCAGAAATGAGGATATCCGCAGTAAAACCAGAGTGACCGACATAGCCCAACGGATTAGTAAGCTGAAGTGGCAATGGGCCGGCCATATAGCTCGAAGAACCGATAACCAATGGGGAAGAAAGGTTCTCGAGTGGCAGCCTCGTACCGGTAGGCGTAGTGTAGGGCGACCCCCACTAGATGGAGTGACGACCTGTTAAGACATGCAGGAAGTCGATGGATGCAGGTGGCTCAGGACCGTGCTTTGTGGCATTACTGGAGGGCCAGGGCCTATGTTCAGCAGTGGACTTGTGAAGGGCTGTAATGATGATGATGATGACCTGCTTGGCAGAGGCGTTTGCAAAATAAAATAGATGATCTGAGGAAAAAAATAGACAGGTTAACGTAGTACTTGAGAGGAAATCGGAGCAAAAAAGTGACTAAAGAAGTCCAAATTATTATAAATAAGTATCAAATACATTCAAGATACGAACATGTAAATTCAGATCTTTTGCATTTTCTAGATACCCTCAAACAAAAATTAAGTTCTACGTGTACAATATACACGCAGAAAGCAACAAAACACGAAATTCTATTACAATGAAAAAGCATTTTATAGGAACTTAGCAGAAAGCGCTGAAGAATTAACCTCAACAAGTTCAAAAATTCCAACACCCGAAGATTTTCGAGTATTCTGGTCAAATATGTGATCTAAACTGGTAAGACATACAAATAATAAATGGATAGAAAATGACACAGAAAAGTTAAGCAATCTCCCACATATGCATATGATAATGGCATATGATAATATTGACCAAGAAGTCTTCAGAGCTGTTATTGCTAATACACACAATTGGAAATCTGCAGAGTCGGACCATATACATAAATTCTGGTAAAAGAAATTAACTTACACCCACAAGTTACTTCTAGATCACATAAATAAATACATAGAATCACAAGAAACACTACCTACCTTTATTACACAAGGAATTACTTATATGTTGCCAAAAGATAAAAAGGATTCAACAACCCCAGAAAAGTATAGACCAATAACTTGTCTTCAAACCATATATAAAATTATTACAGCATGCATAAAAGAAAAAATCTACAAGTTCTCATTTGACAATAATACCCTAGCTGAAGAACAAAAAGGATGTCAGAAAAAAAGTCAAGGTTGTACAGAGCAGTTAACGATAGATGCTATAGTATCAAAGCAAGCATTCATTAATAAACGTAATATATACACAATGTACATAGATTATAAAAAAGCATACGACTCCATCCCACATTCATGGTTAGTCTTTATACTAGAACGCTATAAAATTCACCCAATACTTGTGCGATTTTAAAAGCACCTTATGGACCATTGGCAAACTGCAATTAAATTAAAGTGCAATAACACATATACCTATACCGATTTAATTAATATTAAGCGAGGTCTATTTCAAGGGGATTCTCTCAGCCCGTTATGGTTTTGCCTGGCACTTAACCCACTCTCAAATATTTTAAATCACAGCAAAATGGGATATAAAATTAAATATGACGATACTTATTATATTCTGTCGCACCTCATGTATATGGACGACATAAAGCTATTCGGTAGCTGCCAGAACGATATTTATAAGTTAGCAGACTTAACACAGAGCTTCTCAAATGACATTCATATGAAATTTGGTCTAGATAAGTGTAAAATACAATCAGTACGCAGAGGACACGTTGAATCTAATAATTATCAACTCAATGATTTTCAGATTATAGGTCCCGTAGATCAAAACGAAGGATATAAATACTTAGGGTATCAGCAATCGCAACAAATACATGACAGGGTAACTAAGTGTACATTAACACGACAATTTAAAATGAGATTGCATAAAATATTAAATACAGAATTGAATTCCCGAAACACAATTAAAGCCATTAACACATTCGCAATACCTGTACTAAACTATTCTTTTGGAATGGTCGCAGACTGTCCTTAGAAAATTAGAACGAATAATTAACACCACTATGACTAAATATAGAAAACACCATCCACGCTCATGTGTTCAGCGACAGACATTGCCCAAAAAAGAAGGAGGAAGGGGACTCATAGACATTCAGAACTTACACAATAAACAAATAATTTCACTGAGAGCATTTTTTCATTTACGATCGCAAGAATCTTCGTTACATAAGGCTGTGGTAAAAGCTGACAAAAAATTCACTCCTCTTAACCTTTCAGAAACTAATGTAGAATTGACTGAGAAGACAAATCAGGAAAAAGTGCAGATATGGCAACAAAAATCTCTTCATGGGCGCCACCGTTTAGACTTGATGGATTCAAACGTAGATAAAGATGCCTCCAACGCCTGGCTAAAACGCGGTGAATTATTTCCTGAAACAGATGTATTCATGCTTGCAATTCAAGACCAGGTTATTGAGACAAATAATTACCGCAAGCACATAAAAGAAATCAATCTACAGGACGATAAATGTCGAAGATGTCAAAGTAGTTCTGAAACTATTCAACACATTATTGGGCCATGTAAAGCAATAGCACAAACCGATTATAAGCACAGACAAGATCAGGTTGCATCGATTATACATCAATCATTAGCGTATTATCAGAAACTAATTAAACACAGAGTTGCTTATTATAAATACATACCTGAAGTAATTTTAGAATCCGCTAATTGTAGATTGTACTGGGTCACCATAATAACTGATAAGACTGTTCACTATAATAGACCGCACTTAACTTTATTTGATAAAAGTAACTAATCTGTTTACCTTATTGATATAGCTATACCAAACACGCACAATCTAAGTCAAACATAGACTGAAAATATTACAAAATACTTCGATTTGACAATGGAAATAAAAAGTCAATGGCACGCCAAATACGTAAAAGTGGTTCCTATTGTCTGTGACATGAGACAAAGAATTAAAAATTGATTTCGGCTACTGGAGTAGTACCAAAATCCTTACATAATAGTCTAAAATAACTTCAGTTACACTCTTCAATATATTTAGAATTACAGAAATCTGTTATATTAAATACCTGTAGGATTGTGCGTAAATTTTTTTCCTATGATAGGTAAGAAGTAATAACACATTTTTATTTATTTACAGCTTCTATACTCATAAGATATATCATTTTAGCTTGGTGTAAAGCCCGCTAAATATATCTTTCTTTACCCCTCAAAACGGGAGATAAAAAAAATAAAAATAATAATAATATGGCGTAGGGAAGTGACGACCCAATCGCCCGTTGACGTAACGGTCGCTGCCTTGATGTCGCCAGGGTCTTCGCGGGCCCAGCAATCGGCACCCGCCATTGGTGGAGCACGCCGCATGCGTTGTACAACTCAAATGAACAGCAACGCATTGCGGGCGTATTTTAGGGCGAAAGGGGGAGAAATTGGAGGTTTTGCGTATCGAGCAAGGATTCATCGACTTTTTGCTGAGCTGGAGCCATCTGTAACCGTCACCGAGCAAAACCTGGCAGACCGAGTTCAGAATATCTTGCGCTCAAATACATTTGATGTCACCGAACTCGTACGACTACGACGTGAGGCTGTTCCTTCTTCGGATGAAAATGCTACGGCTGAGGATGCGGCGCCACAACTTGCAGAGCAACCGGCAAACGTGGATGCCGCCGTGAATACCCCAGTTTTGGTTGATTCAAACGATGATGGAACAGTGGCCAAGGAACTGGAACTGGAGCAAATGAGGAGTACATTGGATGAGGCGATTTTGGAAACGTGCAGTACGCCTCTCGAAAATCGACCGCGACCTCCCCGCATAGCCCTCAGCAAGCGGAATCAGGCTATCGTGAGGGCTCTGAACCCAATGCTGGTGACCAATTTGGAAGCCAGCCGGGACCCAATTCTCAATTCTCAAAGGACTCAAAGGACTCAATTCTCTTTGGCGCCGCACTGGAAGTGTGCCGTATTATAGGCGCCAAACTTTCCACAGCTGGACGCACTAGTGGACAAAGTAGTGCTATCCCAGCCTGGAGAACAAGAATTGAAGAACGTATCGCAAAGGCTATGGCCCTCATCGGCAGACTGATATGCTTCAGATCAGGCAATACCAGGCCAAGGATTGTGCGCACCGTCAGGATGGCCTTTTCCTGGACAAATGTTAGTTTGTCCCAGCCGGATATAATGCAAAAACTGACGGAGCGCAAAGACGACCTGAAGCAGAGAATCGCTGCTTGGGGAAAGCGGATTCGGCGATATACCGACACGGTTCATTCAGAATCTTCTCTTCTAGAGTGATCACAAGAGGCTCTATAAATCATTGGTGGCGACCAATGGTAAGTAGAACGGGCCCAGCACCGAATCAGGCCGATACTGTCGCATTCTGGCACGGCCTGTGGTGAGAGCCCGTAAAACACAGCGAGGGGCCTTGGATGGAAGTTGTGGTGAGTCAGTGTGCGGGTATTAAGCATGAACAAAAAAAAGCGGGTATAAAGTATGAACCCCCGTCATCATAACTTCGGATGATGTAGCTGGGGCGGTCCGTAGGGCCCCGAACTGGAAAAGTCCGGGGCTTGATGGGCTGCATCACTACTGGTTGAAGGGTTTCGTGGTGTATCACGCTGTGCTCGCCCGACAGTTTCAAGGGGCCCTCAACCAGAAGTCGCTCCCGAGCCTTTTCACTACTGGGATCACTCATTTGGTTCCTAAGGACCAGAGTACAACAGACCTGAGCAAATACCGTCCCATCACGTGTCTACCAATCATATACAAGACACTAACATCCATTTTGAGTATATATGTAACATTTACAATATAACATTTGTCCCAGTAAACGCCATCCTGACGGTGCGCACAATCGTTGGCCTGGTATTGCCTGACCTGAAGCGTATCAGTCTGCCAATGAGGGCCCTAGCCTATGCGATACGTTCTTCAATTCTTATTCTCCAGGCTGGGATAGCACTACTTTGTCCAGTAGCGCGTCCAGCCATGGAAAGTTTGGCGCCTATAATACGGCAGACCGCCAGTGCGGCGCCAAAACGAATTGAGTCCGTCTCGCAAAGGTCCCGGCTGGCTTCCAAATAGGTTACCAGAATTGGGTTCAGAGCCCTCACAATTGCCTGATTCCGCTTGCTTAGGGCTATGCGGGGAAGTCGCGGTCGATTTTCGAGAGGCGTACTGCGCGTTTCTCACAATCGCCTCTTCCAATGTACTCCTCTGTTACGGCCCTGAGTTACCCTGACAAAAGTCGATTGAACTAGGGCCCATCAGTAGTCCAACTCAACGAGTAACAGAAGGGAGGGTCCAATGACCTATGGATAATTAAATTATAACGGCTAGATACGCAAACACAAAACTTACCGATTACCGGAGGTAGGGTTGACCACGAGGTACCTGTCAGGTGGGAAGTGATGTGCATGTAAGTAGTGTGTAGTAGTGTGTACACTGTGTAACCTGACAGCCCCGCTGATCCAGATGTGAACGCGCGTTACGAAGGTTGGAAAACTTGACGAGGAATGGGCCAGCAAAGTCGGTTCCGTCTCCAGCGAATGGTCGGATGCCCCTGACGCGGTCGGGTGGTAAGTCACCCATCATCGGCTGCGATATGGTGGCCTTCAATTTATAAGATATGCACTTAAAAATGACGCTCCGAATGGTGCGTCGGCCAGCCAAAATCCAAAACTCCCGCTGCAAAATAGCCGAAAGACCGTTACACCCAGCGTGGGCATTCTGAACATGGTGGTGAGTTACCAGCAACCGAACAAGTGCGCCGTCCTTAGAGAGCAGTACGGGTGTCGAACCCCGTACGGCAGTTGAGAATTTTTCAAACGTCCGCCAACGCGCAGCATCCCCGCGTCGTCCAGGAAGAGGTTCAAGCGGGCCAGAGCGCCCTTGACAACGGAGCCTCGCTTCAAGGTGTCAATCAAAATGCTCCGCTAGAACCATACGGGTCCAATGAATCAAGGCTTCGCGACGTTCGCTAGGGGACAAAACGGAATCAGAGATTCGGTTGGGCGGGTCTCTAACTCCTAAGAGCTTATCGAGAGAGCTGTACTGTTCTAGCAGGGAGAAATCCCGAGTGGACTTATCCTTGCCCACTCCTACTCGGGCTCGTAGGCCAGGCAATTCAATCGGTTCAGAGTATTTATTCTGGGGCCAGAACGACTGAGACTCAGTCAACCAACTGGGCCATAGTGGGTGGTCAAATAAAGAGGGGGCTTCACAACCGCGAGAAGCGCAGTCTGCGGGATTCAACTCCCCTGTCCTGTCCTCCCATGTCTCCAGGTTAGAGGCGTGCCAGAATTCTGGATTTGAGACACGCGGTTCGACACAAAGACCTCAAGATTGTGAGGTGCAGCTCGGAGCCAACAAAGTACTATCTCACTGTCCGATCAAGCGTAAACGTCCGTAATGTCGATTACAGACTTCAAAGACGAGTGAACGTGGTTGAGGAGTCGCGTGAGAAGAGCGGCTCCGGACAGTTCCAATTTAGGGATAGTTAAGCGGGACCTAATGGGAGCAACCTTGCTTTTAGCAAGTACGAGATGGACGGAAGTATGGCCAGAAGAGCTCACAGTCCGCAAATATACGACAGCAGCGTATCCTTTCTCAGAGGCGTCACAAAATTCATGCATAGTAGCCCCGCATTTCCCTGGAGGAGAAGAGGAAAGCACCTTGGCATGGAGACCCGGTGGATGTCCGGAAGGGAGGACACAATGGAGAGCCACTCTCGCAAGAGAGCACCGCTTATAGGGTCGTCCCAACCCAACCCGGATATCCAGAGCTTTTGAAGAAAGCACTTAACCAAAAAATTACCGGAGTAATCCATCCATTAGGATCGAAGGTGCGGGCTATAGTCGACAGCACAGAACGCTTGGTCCATGATCTAGGAGGGGGATCGAGTTTGACTCAATATGTCAAGGTATCCTGAACAGGCTGATATTGAATGCCCAGCACCGTCAACAAATTAGGATTGTCAGGGTGCTCGAATAGATGAGGATCTTGTTGATCCTCTCCTGGGAGGTCCTTCAAAATATGAGGGGAGTACGACAACCATTTGCGCGACTCATAACCTCCGGACTTCAGGATGGCAATCAATTCGTCTCACAATACAAGAGCCTCCTCGACGGTGAAGGCGCCCGTGCAAATATCGTCCATGTAGACCGAAGTCTCCAAAATAGAAGCCCCCCGAGCGTATCGTAGACGCTCTCTCTCTCTCTCAGCGAGTTCGAGGAGGGTTCGCATGGCGATATACGGGCTGGACCGGAGTCCATAGGTGGTGGTGTTCAACTCAAACACCTGTATCGGATCGCTGGGCTTCTCGCGCCACAATAGCAGCTGTAATCGAAGGTCACCACGATGGACCACTGATTGTCGAAACATCAGCCGAATGTCGGCTACAAAAACTGCTTGGTGCCGACGGAAGTGGATCAAAATGTCGGATATGTCCTTGATCAATTTAGGACCAGAGTGGAGACACTGGTTCAGGGATACACCATTTGACGAGGGGGGAGCCGTCAAAAACTACCCGAATCGTACTCCCAGGGGTCCTCAAGACCGCATGGTGGGGGAGGAAGTAGTGTCGGTCGGTAGTCGAAGTGGGACGGTGACATGTGACCCAGCTCTTGATACTCTCGCATGAACTCGACATAAGTATTTGTCGCGAAAGGCTGGGTCGCGCCGCTTACGGCGTTCCATGGAAAGCAACCTCTTTTCGGCCAGAGTACGAGATTGGCCCAAAGGGGGCCGTGAGTCAAGAAAGGGTAAGCGAGTGACAAAACGACCGTCGACACGGCGGCCGGTATTGTTCTGGTAGAACAACTTGCACTCACGGTCCAGAGGGTCGACTCGAGGCGCGTGTGGTGGCTCCTCAATTTCCCAGAACCGCTGGACGACGTCCGAAAGGGACACGCCCACCACAGAGAGCGGTTCGGCCGTCTGAGGAGGTGCAGACCACAGAACCGGTCCAAAGAAACTGTACCCAAATACAGTGGACATGGCTGACAAGCCATCGGGCTGTAGGACTCGTATCTCTCCTAACAGGATGTACCCCAGCACGTCGGCCCCCAGCAACAAATTTATAGGCCCAGGTTGGGACCATTGAGGGTCTGCCGGTCTCAAGCCCGACGTACAACGCACCGCACTGTCATTTATACGGACGTTACGGAGAAAACCTACAATGTCATCGAGGATATTTACTTTAACTATTTATACTAAAATATGATTAATATATAAATTATTATATACTAAAATATGAAGATGTTCGCTGGCAGGACCAAACACCAACTTCGCTTGTCCCCTAGGAGCAGGAGGCTTGGCACCTCCAATACCTACCATTGGACGTGATTCAGAGCTCTAGGGGAGCCCTAGTCGTCCCACCAATCAAGTGGAGGCCACACAGCTTTGTGAACCCGAATCCAATAGAGCGCGAACGGTTAAACAGTCGCCACTCGGGTTGTACACCTTCACTGAGGCCGTCGGCAATAGAACAGTTTGACAAGTAGACTGTTGACGGCTTCGGAAAGCGGCATTCCGGCGGCATCTCACTGACCCGTGGTTGGAAATCACCGAACGGGCCGACCTGGGGAGCTTCGGGGAACCTCGGCCTTGAGGCCCGGGACAAATTCGAGGTCGCAGGAACCCCGTAGTACCGGTACCGACCAAAGGGGGGGAATACCACCCACCCCCGCGCTCAGTCGCGGCCCCACAGCCAACGGGGGTGAGAAGGGTCTCGCTAACCGCTGAGTGACCGTAAAGTTCCTCTCAACACGCTGAGGGGGGGGGTGACGAAACCCCCCACCCCTTGGGGAACGAACCCCGACTGGTCGATGGAGGGACCCCCTTTAAAACCAGGGGCACGGTGGCCGGCAGGGGTGCGACGAGCGTCGCCCGACAGAGAGCGTGGCTGAGCGCCCCCGCCCGTGGGGGTTGAGGGCCCGGCAGAGTCCCAAGAGGAAGCGCCGTTCACACCCAGGC